TTAGGGTTTTAGGGTTCAGGGAACCCTAAGCCCTAAACCCTTACCGCCTGTTGCCGTTTGCTTCCGGTTCCTGGCCTGTCACAGACCTTGCCTGGATGAGCTGCAGCCGTTTGGTGAAGGCAGTGTAGGGACTGGGGCAAAACTCAAGGTTCGGGACCCTCAAACTGTATCAGGGTTTAGGGTTTTAGGGTTTAGGGTTTAGGGATGTTTAGGGTTTAGGGTTTCAGGGTTTAGGGTTTGGGTGTCTAAACCCTGAATCCAAAAACCCTTGACCCTATACTCTGAACCCTAAACCCTATTCCCAAATAGCCCACAGAACCCAAAAACCCAAAACCTTATCCCACAACCCAAAAACTCTACAAAGTGGGAAGATTCGTCCGCCCCTGCCGTGTGGGTAGTTCTCTAAATAAGGGTCCTTTTTCAGGTCCCTAATATAGTACGGCACCCTTGTAAGAAGGACCCAAGACCCAGATTGAGAGAACGACCCATGTGGCGCTTTTCGCAGTCTCCTGCCTGTCGCAGCTTTCCCCTGGACTGCTCCGGGTATTGTGCACCTCGGAAAGACCAGGAGCCAGTGGATGAGGGTTTTTTGGTATTCAAACCTTAAACCCCAAATGATATACCCGTAAACCCTCAAGAAAGAAATAAATAGAAATTGCTTCAAACCCTCAACCCTAAACCCTCAAGGAAGAAGTAAAATATAAATTGCTTGTTGCTGTTGGCCAGCCGGAAACCCATTTGTTGGGGGTCGGGACGCAACCTTTGGCCAGCCACAGCCCCACCCTCCAGCCGTCCAGCGCAGCCACAGCCACAGCCCAGCCCAGTCGGGCAGCAACCAAACCCTTAAGAATTTCTATATTTAACTTCAAACCTTGTAACCTTACACCCTGAACCCTAAACCCTAAACCCCAAAACCCTAAACCCCTAAACAACCTAAACCCCTAACCCTTTTTGGGTTTGGGGCCCTATAGGGTCAGGGTTTTGGGGGTTTCAGAGTTCAGGGCCTCGGGAGGGTGCTAAAGGGCGAGAGTCGAAGGATGTGATGCAAAGAGCACGGGGGAAGAGGCGCAAGTACTCGCTTAGGGTCTGAAGGGTCTGGGGTCTATAGGGTCTACAGGGTTTAGGGTTTAGGGTCTACAGGGTTGAGGGTTTAGGGGCTATAGGGTTTAGGGTTTAGGGTCTATTGGGTTTAGGGTGTAGGGTCTATTGGGTTTAGGGTTTAGGGTCTACACAGCTTAGGGTTTAGGGTCTATAGGGTTTCGGGTCTATAGGGTTCGGGGTTTACGGTCTATAGGGTTTAGGGTTTAGGGTCTTCAAGAAAGCAGCACCGCGACGACCACAGCACAGCTGCAGACACCGATGACAGTTGTAATAGGAAATCTGTCAGAACGACAGCAGCAAGAACGGCAGCGGCAACAGCATGCTCCCGCAGCACCATTATAAGAGCAATAGAGGCAAAAGTGGAGGCATCCGGGAATTCTGTTTGGAGTGATGTCCTTTTGGTTCTGCGATGCGCAGGAGCTGATCGTTGTTTCCGATGCCCGCGACAAAAAGGACCTCCGACTGCAGTAGCAAGTTGCTTTTGGCAATGGCATCATTCGGTAACGCCAACCAGCATCAACACGAAGTAAAATCTTTTGTATAAGTACCAAGCTGCGTTCGGATTTATGTAAGTTGCTAGGCAACACTGACAGGCAAGTTGAGAGATGATGTTCGGCAACGCCTGCACATCACCAGTCATCGTCACCAGATATCGCAGAATCACTCTGACTGCCAGATCACCAGCAGGAACATAACCGTCACTGCCCTTCTTAGGGGAACCATGGTGCCTAAACCCTAATTAAACCCTAAATCTTGGCAAGTCGAGGCTCGACCTCGCTTGGCCGCCTGCCAAGCGATGAGTCTAGAAGCTTCTGACCGATTCTGGGATGGTTTCCAAGGCAGTTGGTACCGCGTGGAGGACAATCGCTGCGTCGGTGAGATCTACGGGAACAGCATGATTTGGCACGCCCAGTGGAACATGCCGGAAGCAGAAAGTGTGCTGGAGAGTCTGAACGAAGACACGGTCCTGCAGGAAGTTAAGGGTCACGTTCTCCTGGGCAGAATCCGCCGAGATGCGCAGATGACCATACTGTGGAGTGATGGTGATGTGTGGCTGCTGAAGTGATGATGGGTGGTAAATACCGACCGTCGAACGTTGTTGCCGGTTCTGATCGGGATACACAGCAGCCTGATCTTCTAATGTTAGCATACAGGTTGCCTGCTCAAGCTGCCAGCCTGTTTCCAAACTAGATAGAGCTTTGTGGCATGGCGATTTTGCAAAGCAACTCGCATGCTCCTCTACGGTCACGTAGAAATTCTGGCCCGGCTGCCGTCGAAAACGACGTTTGAAGTGTATTCCGAGTCCATACTATTGTTATTATCATCAGTATTCTCATTATGTTTGTCCGCACACTCATGATCAACCCTCTCCTAACAGCGTGAGGTCGCAAGTGTTCGAAACCTTCTGAAGTACATGGAAATGCGGAGAATCATCTCTGTACCACGGCGCCCTCGGTGGAACTACTTAATGACACTCTTGCGGGTCTTCTTCAAGCCGTATGGAGTCTAGAACCTTAAATCTTAGCTTGAAAGCCCTAAAGTGGATAGACACAAGGCGGCTCCCTAACAAGATGTCCTCCCCGAAGGCTTCTTGTAAGCGCTGCGCGGTCTGAGAGAGCACCAGGCGACGTTTCGCACCTCGTCGGCAGGAAGGTGCGCAGACCCTGAGGCGAAAAAGGAATACGGTTTACGTGTTCAGGAGTTTGACAATTGGGGTAGACGCATGCAGTGAATCTTGTGTGGCAAATCCCTGCGGGTTTCCCGGAGACCATGGGGCAGCACAACAGAAGAAGTTGTTGCAAGAGCTCGAAAGTA